CAAAGCCTGGAGGTGTGTTTGGGGTCATTGTCCTGTTGAAAAATAAATGATCGTCCAACTAAACGCAAACCGGATGGGATGGCATGTCGCTGCAGGATGCTGTGGTAGCCATGCTGGTTCAGTGTGCCTTCAATTTTGAATAAATCCCCAACAGTGTCACCAGCAAAACACCCCCACACCATCACACCTCCTCCTCCATGCTTCACAGTGGGAACCAGGCATGTGGAATCCATCCGTTCACCTTTTCTGCGTCTCACAAAGACACGGCGGTTGGAACCAAAGATCTCAAATTTGGACTCATCAGACCAAAGCACAGATTTCCACTGGTCTAATGTCCATTCCTTGTGTTTCTTGGCCCAAACAAATCTCTTCTGCTTGTTGCCTCTCCTTAGCAGTGGTTTCCTAGCAGCTATTTGACCATGAAGGCCTGATTCGCGCAGTCTCCTTTTAACAGTTGTTCTAGAGATGGGTCTGCTGCTAGAACTCTGTGTGGCATTCATCTGGTCTCTGATCTGAGCTGCTGTTAACTTGCGATTTCTGAGGCTGGTGACTCGGATGAACTTATCCTCAGAAGCAGAGATGACTCTTGGTCTTCCTTTCCTGGGTCGGTCCTCATGTGTGCCAGTTTCGTTGTAGCGCTTGATGGTTTTTGCGACTCCACTTGGGGACACATTTAAAGTTTTTGCAATTTTCCGGACTGACTGACCTTCATTTCTTAAAGTAATGATGGCCACTCGTTTTTCTTTAGTTAGCTGATTGGTTCTTGCCATAATATGAATTTTAACAGTTGTCCAATAGGGCTGTCGGCTGTGTATTAACCTGACTTCTGCACAACACAACTGATGGTCCCAACCCCATTGATAAAGCAAGAAATTCCACTAATTAACCCTGATAAAGCACACCTGTGAAGTGGAAACCATTCAGGTGACTACCTCTTGAAGCTCATGGAGAGAATGCCAAGAGTGTGCAAAGCAGTAATCAGAGCAAAGGGTGGCTATTTTGAAGAAACTAGAATATAAAACATGTTTTCAGTTATTTCACCTTTTTTTGTTAAGTACATAACTCCACATGTGTTCATTCATAGTTTTGATGCCTTCAGTGAGAATCTACAATGTAAATAGTCATGAAAATAAAGAAAACGCATTGAATGAGAAGGTGTGTCCAAACTTTTGGCCTGTACTGTACATGTTGCTGATGACATTATGAGTAAACCTAAGGAAGCCAGAGTGTGAAAAGCGTTATGAAATTTGATCAAACTAATAACCCTAACCCAGACATACGTAGCTCCTCCTAGTCTGGCCCAAATACTAATGAGGAGCGTCCCAAGAGGGAATCATCTCTACCGGTTTAACAGCCATTTATAATGACGAACACCTCATGCACGTGAAAGGTCGACTTCTTGCACACATGCCATACAGAGTTAATAGGATCATATTTTTGAGCCATATGGAGCTTGCTGTTGCACAAGAGTGACATGTTTAGAGTGTAGCATACCAGAGAAATGAAGTGTAGATCATTTGGGGAAAAAAGCCCTTGTTTTGCTCACAATGTTTTGTACCGTGTTTTTTTTCATCAGGCTTTAATGAGGCTCCTAAGATGCTTTGCTGTAATCTCCTCCTCCTCCCCCTAACAAATTTCATAGGAGACCCTGTTTAATACCCACGGCGGACGCCTGACATATGGCACCTTTTATTGGCTTTGCTGTTGTCTGCTATGTTCCTCCATACCATATGCCCTCTCATCCCCTCCTATCCTCTGCTATGCTCTGTTGTGCCCTCCTCATCACATGGCCATAATACTGTTGGCAAATTAAATTAGCCTCTCATTTTGTTGATGAGAGCATCTGGCTGAATTCTTCACCTCTAAATTCACATTGTGCATTTGAAGGTCAGCTTTTGGTGCAGATCCCCCTGTTTTGAGTGATGCAGTGACAAATCTCCTTTAATGAGGGATTAATAACCTTGGCTGGCCATGAGGAATGATCAGCAGGAGGAAGATTAACCCTTTATTGTTTGGCAAAGGAGATTCTGAGACCTGGCATGAAGGTTATCTGCCAACACTGGCTTCTACTGAGGACAATCATTTCAGTTCACTTGACATGTTGTCCTCCAAAGGAAAAGTTCTTTTTGCAGTGACGCAAACCAGTACACAAATAATTATTACTATTACCTAATAACTTGTTATCACTGTCGGAGGAAGTTGGCTTGTGACACATTTCAGAGGAATCTGATATTTACACATTACAATAAATAAATGTCCATGTGATGAAAAAGTCAAACAAAATAAAATAAGATGCTGTAGATATCAATGAATCTGATTCACTGATTGATAGTGTAATCCATAAAATGTTTGCCAATGAAGGAATACAACTCCCTAAATTCAAAAGATTGATATATACAGGCATGGATCGTGAACGACAATGAGTGTCGTACGCGATAATCCATCGTTTCATCTCGTGTAGTGTGTCATAGTTAACGACAACCGACGCCACGTCTGGGACGCATCACGACGTTCTGACGTCTAGCATGTTTGATTTTATTTTTGTCGTTCACGACTTCTGTCACAGCTGTCACTTTGACCAATAGGAACACAGAGTGATCTGCTGTCGTAGACAACTGTACGACAACAACACCCCAGGGTTTTTGGTATTTCCTCTAGAGACATTACCACACAGAGTAAAAAGGGAAAAATGATGGTGTGAAACAGCAGAGGCACTTTAGCAACCCGGTGAGTAATGCCATTAGCATCAAGCTAGCAAACAATTTCTTTTAGCTGTTCCCTAATTTAATTTTAACAATTTTTTCAATCTTTTCCTCTTTTCCAAATTCTCGTTTTATTTTATGGAAGTGATCAATGTAAGTGCACTTGTCCTTTAAAAATCAATAAAAAATAAAAGCTAACAAAATAAAAAATGCCTGGTACATTCGTTACAGGCTTATCAGTTTGTAGAACAAGTTTGTAGAACAGTTTTGAACAGTTAGAACATGAGGCTGCGCTGCAACGTGCAAATCACTCCTTCTCGTGACTGCCTGCGCTTTCCCTGTCCTCACGGCTGCAACTTGTGTTCTCTTCATCTACTTCATTGCCACTGCTGTACACAATTTAAAAAATACAACACCCATAATTCATGTAGGAACTGCTGCAACCTATGTGCAGCCGGCAGGAGCTGCAGGACTACTCAACCACCATGATCAGTTTTTAATGTTTTATCAGGCAATAACTACTCCAGACTCTGCTCTAGTGTAATTTTCGGGACAATTAGGGCAGAATTCGGGATTTGGGACAACTGCTTGGATTTCGGGACTGTCACGAATTTTTCGGGCTGTCTGGTCACCTTAGTTAAATGCCACAGGTCATAAACACAAGCTTAACAGTTGTCACTAATGGATCCACCAGTCTTTCTGGCCAAATTAGCTACTTGGCCCGCCAGCATAGCTGCTGACTGCTGTGGGTGTGTTCTTTGAACTAATGTTAGCTGCTGAATGAGAGGCTATAGCCACTTAGCAGAGGGTGTGTGCTGTGCAACCATAGACTGTGTGAGCTACAGTGCACTGAGTTAGCTGCTAACAAGAGTCTGTTGCTGCACGGTGGCTCGTTACTTGGCTCAGGATGTGTGTATGCTACTGTGCTACTGCCTTAGTTCCTAACAATTGTCCATTATTTTCATATGAGCTCCTTCAGTGGACACGCCCCCAGCATCTCTTTTTTCACAATTTTGAAACCTATTATTCAGTTGGTGATTTTTTTAATCTTTCTAATTTGGCTGGGTGGTTAATGACACATTTTTCTATGGTATGACAAAATCATTACACATACTTTTTTTGCTTGCTGCTTGCTTTACCTGGACTTTAAAGAGGGTAATCTGGATTAGCTAAAATGGTCAATGGTTAATGGACTTGTATATGTATAGCACTTTTATAGTCCTCTGACCACACAAAGTCCTTTTACACACCCTTTCAAACACACACGCTGAGGCTACCATACAAGGTGCTATGTTACTCCATTAACCATTGGCAAACACTCACACACACTATGACATGCTGATTGGAGGAGCCAGGGATCAAACCTCTGATATTCAGATTAATGGACAACCTGCTCTACCTCCTTGTAGGAGCCGCATTTAAATTTATTTGTATTCACATAATTAATTTTTTTTTTCTCTATTGGTTTGGCATGGTACATGGCGGAGAGAAGGCAGGTGACAGCAGACACCATCACTGACCTCAGCTTCAGCTTCACTACAGCCATAACAACATGGGTGGAACCTGCAAATGCTACAGTTAAAATCACTGCATCATGTCATCTCATGTATTTTTTTTGTTTTGTTTTGTTTGCCACAGTGAATGCTAAATATTCTATGTAATGATTATTGGAAAGAAGGCTGTGAGTCTGACACACACTGCACCTGCACTCTCCCTGTGGTAAGAACAAAGGAAACTGGAATAGGGGTTAAAGGAAAAACCCAATCTTGAAGTTTTTGCCACTACACTCCCAATGAACACTAGACATTTGACAAAGAAGGGTGCTACTCACTACTAGTGATTTACAGTTTCTTATGTTTTGATGTCATAGATCTACCTGTAGCTGTCTCACTACCACCTGCAGTTTATTTAAATGTTTCTGCTATAAGAAGCTCTTTTTGCACTTTGTGCATTACATTAGCAGAGAATAGTACATGAACAGCACACTCAAGAATCTGCTCTTTTTAGTATGCTTCTTGACTATTTTCAGTATACTCTATTTTGTCACTTATTCAGTGTGAAACACAACAGATTTAAAACCTGCCTAGATTATCACAGCTTTGCAAGCTCACTGATTACAAGCACATGCGACAGCTGTCGTGAGAACTTCAGTGCTGGTCCTTGTGCTGACTCCTGCAGTCAGTGAGAATGAATAGTAACAGGGACAGGACACTCTGTGGGGTGCCACTGGAGGAAGAGCAGCTCAGTTTATTTTGTTAGGAGATAAGAGTAGAAGAGCAGATAAGAGGTCTCTCCTACCTGTGAAGCCGTCTGGACACACACACTGGTAAGAGTTGATCAGATCGTGACAAGTTCCTCCATGCTGACATGGACCAGACTCACAATCATCCACATTGATTGAGCAGTTGTCTCCTGCCAGCGGAACATATTAATGAGATTCAGATCGATGTCCTCATCACTTCATTGCAAGTTAACAGGGCAATCTATCAAGAAACTGAAGGGGTGTTGTTGTGAAGAGGCTTACCAGTAAATCCTGGCAGACAGTGGCAGATGAAACCAGCTGCCTCTTCATAGCTGAAATTGACATTGCTGAGTTCAGGCAGTGTTCTGTAGTTCAAGATATCTGAGCGCTGGAAACACTGGCCACCATTCTCACAGGGATGCTGGTCACATTCATCTACATCCAGCTGGCAGTTCTCTCCCTTGTAACCTGGACATACACAGAAAGACAAATACATGTTTAAAGGACAAGTCTGCCTTAATATAACACTCGCATTAAAAGAATTAATGCTCACTGTATTTTTTCATTTTATTTTATCCATACAAGCCATGAAGTGATCCCGTCCTAACTTACATTAGATAAGAGGGTGACACTAAGATCCTCCAATTCCATAGATCTGATTCAAATTCCCTGTAAGCAATGTATCACAGGCCCCACTCCAACAAATTTAAAACTAGCTGTATTTAATGTCAGGTCTCTAGGTAATAAGTCACTTGATCTTATGTTTTTAACGGAGATTTGGTTGGACAACAAGAATGGAAATGTTGCTCTTATTGAATCCACTCTACCAAATTTTAGATTTGAGTTTGAAGCACGACAAAACAAAAAAGAGGTGATATCTGTGCCTTTTTCAGAGATAGATTTCTTTGTAAGAAGCTATAATTTTGTGAGTTCTCATCATTTGAATATGTGTCATTTAAAATTTAAATGAAGTTCTCTCCATGTACCATTGATTTACATGCTGCCTAAATACTCTCCAAATGTTCTTGATGCTTTTACTGAGATGCCTTCAATTATTTGTACTAAACTGGACTGTGCACTCATTACTGGTGATTTTAATGTTCACATGGATAATATCTGTGAGAAAAATGCCACAGAAATTGAGTTACTAATTACTAAAGGTGTTAATATTTCAAATGTCACTGTGCTTGATGTTGCTCTATCAGATCATTTCTATGTATTTTTTGATCTGTCAATAACTCCCAAAATTACCCATGGATCAGCAAATGTTGAAAAAACATACTTTAATGAGAACACCAAAACACTTTTCATGGCAAACATCAAATTTGAATCTGCCACAATTTCAAATCATGTTGATGATCTGTTGAATTCCTGCAACTCTCAAACTGCAAATGTCATTGATGTCATTGCTCCTGTTAAGGTGAAATTAATCAGTTATAAGCAAAAGGCAACATGGATAAACACTCATTCTGCAAGGGTCCAGAAAAGTGAGTGCCGGAAAGCAAAATGAAAATGGCGTAAATCAAAGCTCCATATTCACTTTAAAATCTACGAAGATCAAATTACCTTGACAAGTGCAAGGCAGTCATTTTTCTCTGAGATCATCAACAGAAAGACTAACAACTTATATGTTATTTGCTACTGTAGACAGATTAACTAACCCTCCGGTTGCAGCCTTTTTTTAATAACAGGGTTCACAACATCAGATGTGCAATTAACTCCTCAATCCATCCATCCATCGGGCCGGGTCACGGGGGCAGCTGGCTGAGCTTGTTCCCAGGCCAGACAAGATATGTAATCCCTCCAGTGTGTTCTGGGTCTGCCCCGGGGCCTCCTACCAGTGGGATGTGCCCAGGATACATCCAGCAGGAGGCGCCCAGGACGCATCCTAGTCAGATGCCCGAAGCACCTCAACTGACCCCTTTGGACGCGAAGGAGCAGCAGCTGTACTCAGAGCTCCCTCTGGATGTCCGAGCTCCTCACCCTATCTCTAAGGCTGAGCCCAGCCACCCCACGGAGGAAACTCATTTCCACCGCTTTTATCCGAGACCTCATTCTTTCGGTCACTACCCAGAGTTCATGACCATAGGTGAGGGTTGGGACGTAGATGGAACAGTAAATCGAAAGCTTTGCTTTCCGGCTCAGCTCCCTCTTCACCACGACAGACCGGCGCAGCGCCCGCATCACTGCAGAAGCTGCACCGACCCGCCGATCCATCTCACACTCCATTCTACCCTCACTCGTGATCAAGACCCAAAGATACTTGAACTCCCTCACTTGAGGCAGTAACTCTCCTCCAATCCAAGAGGGCAATCCACCGGTTTCAAACAGAGAACCATGGCCTCAGACTTGGAGGTGCTGACATTTCAACCCAACTGCTTCACACTCGGCTGCAAAACGCCCCAGTGCATGCAGGAGGTCACCGTGTGATGGAGCCAACAGACTTTACACCAAGTATGTGAACGCAGCTCTCACTTTGGTCATACAGGGACCAGATGGCTCGTAGCAGCGAGCCTGACACCCGGTACTCCCGTAGTACCCCCCTCAAGACCCCCCAAGGGACACTGTCGTAAGCCTTCTCCAGGTCCACAAAGCACATGTAGACTGGATGGGCAAACTCCCACGACCCCCTCCAGCAGCCTCGCAAGGGTAAAGGGCTGGTCCACTGTTCCACGGCCAGGATGGAATCCGCATTGCTTCTCCTGAATCTGAGGTTCGACAATCGATCGGAGCCTCCTTTCCAGCACTAGAGTAAACTTTACCCGGGAGGCTGAGCAGTGTGATACCCCGATAGTTGGAGCGCACTATCTCCTCAGTGCCGAAGAATAAAGTACCATCACTGCAGTCTTCCCAAAGTGTTAGGTATGACAGAATTTAAGTCCATCATTGACAAAACACTGGAAGAAATTGTCTCTAGTCTCAGTTCTTCAACTTGCTGCCTTGATGTTTTACCCACTTTGGGTAAAACTGTGCTGAGCAGCCTGGTCAAACAACTAACTCTTATGTAACGTTCACACCTGGCGCGAGTGAAGCGAATTACTCACTGGTAACGCGAGTAACGCACCGCGCGTAACGCCTGAGTTTGGACGCTGGACGATTTTGTTAATTCTCGTTATCACGTCATTCGAGCGAGTAGCGGGGAAGCCGGCTGTGCTAACTGGAGCTAAGCTAGTGCTAACGTTCATAGTACAACCATTCTGCAAACTAATTAAAGACACATATTTACAGAACTTACCAAGTAGACCAGTCTCGCGGCGACTTTCACCCAAGCCTGCTCCTTTTTGTTGCGGTCTCTGTAGAGTAGACACGTAGTATCATATAGCTCCGGGTAGCCACTGACGACCATGACTGAGATAACCACCATCGCTGCTTTGTACCTGCTCTGGAAGTCCCAGATGCGTCGGAGGGCCAAACGCTGTCGTTTTTGGGTTAACCCTATCCTGCAGAAGCGCATCCAGCTCGGCGAGTTTCACCACCTCCTCCAGGAACTCCGTCTGCATGATAGCCACTTTCAGCGGTACTTCAGGCTGACTGGGGCCCAGTTTGAGGACCTGTTGGCGAGGGCTGGCGCCAGGATCTCCCGGCAGGACACCAACTACAGGAGCTCCATTTCAGCTGAGGAGCATCTGTCCATCTGTCTCCGGTGAGTAGCAGTTTATTGTGTCAACAACGGGACGCTGATTGTCTTTCGCGGCACAGCGCCACACGAATTCGCCTCAAAAGTTCAATATTTTCAACTCGAGCGATGAGGCGTTGGACGCGAATTTCGCGTCTATCGCACCATGCTAGGCGCCTCTATCGCGTCCATCGCGTCGTGCTAGACGCGTCCATCGCGCCGCCCGGCGCGAATTCGCGTCTAATCGCGTCTTTGCATTGACTTTGTATGTAATGTAATCTTTGTATGTACGTAATCTTCACGTTCGAATTCACGTTTGGTGTGAACGCAGGTTTATAGTTAATGTCTCCCCCCAATCTGGCACTTTCCTAAATGCTTTGAAAACTGCAGTCTCCTAAAGAAGAGCAGTCTTGATGCCACTGTATTGAACACCTATCGGCCTATTTAAAACTTACCGTTTTTAAGGAAAGTCACTGAAAAAGTTGTCTACTAGCAACTTAGCAACTTATTGAAGCTGAACAATTGTTCTGATAGCTTTCAGTCAGGTTTTCGGCCCTATCACAGCACTGAGAATGCACTCATAAAGGTTATAACTGACATTCGCCTGAACACTGATTCAGGCAAAGTCTCTGTTTTAGTGCTGTTTGATTTAAGCACTGCTTTCAACACAGTGGACCACACCAGACTCTGTGGAACTGTCCTTTAATGGTTCAAATCATATCTTCATGACAGAAAGTAAAGAAAGTAAATAACCTTTTGGCCTCTAGTTTCGCAGACCGGGCGAGGCGGAGGCGCAGTGCACCTGCGCTTCGCCAACTGGGTGTGGCCAGGCGGATTTTGCAAGTTTGGCACACCGTGCGCGCTGGCGCAGCTACTCCTCTTTCCCACCTTCGTCCCTCCTACCTGCACAAGTCAGAAAGAGGGAGGAGAGAGGCGTGGAGTGGGTTTTACACACATCACACCAATCAAATGAGCCCCTCTCCTCGCCCTTAAATGCGCCGCGTGAAGGCGTAATGAGAGTTTACTCAATTTGCCATGGCAGAAGAGAGCAGCAGCGTCAGACGGCCAAACTTCTCCCAGGAGAAAACTGATGTTTTGGTCCGGGAGGTCCAAGCTTGCAGTGTCCGAATATACGGAACTTACCATTATTGTGTGTGTGCTTGCGCGCATGTTAGGTAGCCTGTTATGCTATTATTGATTATTCAATGATGTCATTAGTAAGTGTGTGTGTGTGTGTGTGTGTGTGTGTGTAGTCCATTACTGCATTTGTTGTGTGTTGTGTGATTATTCAATGATGTCATTAGTTGTCAAAATGTTAATAAAAAGTGATAAATGAACATGTCAAACATGAAATCATTCTTTTGTTGACCAAAATATAATACAAATAATCATCTTTAACCAAAATGAAAGAAATTGCTTAAGTTTATCACATAAAACGCATTGATTCTATTTGGGGTCAAAGCAAAGTAAGTAAGTGAGAAAATGAGTAGTGTTACCCTATCAGTCGGATTATAGAAGTAACATTAGTTATAGCGTTTAGCGTTAGTACAAAAAATGAGTCAGCAAGAGACACCACACTGTAAAAATGAATTTGGGTTTTTTTGTTACCTCAGCTCATTTTCCTTAGTCAGTCCAACTAAAAGTAAATCATTGGGCCAACTTGAAATATTAAGTTTTAATGTTGTCAACTGTTGTTAAATCAGAACAGTCCAGGTAACTTAGATTGCTAAGCTGACTCAATTAAATGTGAGTAGCCCCTGCAAAATGGCCTTGGACAATCCACGCATCACAGACTGCCTTCCTGCTCCTCGTGTCAGTTGGAAAGGACGCCATTTCAGTCAAGCAACGGAAC